ATACCTTAAAGAGGAAGGGAGAGGTTTTAATTCTATCTTTGGTGCTTTATCATCTTCACAAGTAGAAACTTTTGGCTCTAACTTCAGACTTTCAAACTTTGCATTCCGAAATGGAGCACCTGATGTTGATTCTAAAGATTGAGCATACGCGGCTACCTCGGGGTCTTCATCATTTATTGAACCTTCTCTTACCAAACACTTCTCAAGTGGATCAGCTGAGTAATGGTTTGCAAGTTGCTCATGTGTACACTTGTCAATCACGTCGACCCTATAACAAACTATATTAGTTAGAGGGTGTTTCATAGCATTGCTTAAATCAAATTCTACCGTTTCCCCTCCAATATTTAGGGAGAGCCTTTCATTTTTAACGTCGATTATAGCACCTGCAATAGCAAGGAAGGGTCTTCCTAATATAATTGGAATGTTAGAATCTTCTTCTATTTCTAAAATTATGAAATCAACCGGGATAAAGAACTTACCGACCTGGATAGGTACATCTTCAAGTATACCTACTGGATATTTTACCAATCGATTCGCCAATTGAAGTGATATCGTGGTTGGCATCAAATCACCTATGCCAAGCTTCTTACAAATAGACATCAACATCAAACTTATGCTTGTACTAAATCACACAAAGCACGGTTAATAGAGACATTACCAATAACACAATGAATAGAAAATGAACCTGGATCCTTAAGCTTAGGAGGTAACTTATTTTGGATGATAGCACTACACTCCTCAGTAAGGGCCACAGTTTCGTATTCTTCTAACTTTCTTTTATTAGATAAGATCTCTTTCAAGAACTTAGCATAGGAAGACATTTGAGAAATAGCTTCAGTGAACGGGATATTAATGTGCAACTTTTTCAAAATCTCCAAAAATTTTCCGAACTGCTTTTCTAACTTAGCCTTAGCTAACATTTGGGGAAAGGGTAGAGGAGGCTTGTAAGGAGCTGGAGACACATATTTCTCAACTTTTTCTTCTTCCTGCGTTTGGGTCTCATTATCCACATCTATCACCTTTTCACTTTTTTCTTCATGACGACCATCTACCCCCATCATTTTCCTTCATTTTAGGTCCCTCATATTGTTTTCCACTCTTAAGGGTTATAGGATTCACATGACTCCTGGGATTCGTCTCAGGTTGTCCAGGTAGCATGCCTGAAGGCCTAGAAGAAGAGCTAGTATTTTGCACCAATTGAGTGATTTGTGTCTCTAACATCTTTTTATGTGTAGCTAGGGAATCCATCTTAGAGGCCAATTGTTTTACTACCTCATTTGTGGTTTGTTGTTGTTGCTTAAACTCTTCATTCAATCTCGATTGAGTTATCATAAACTTTTCCATCATATTTTCTAAATTAGACCTTTGAGAAGGGAGATTGGATTGAGGAGCATGAAAATCAGGAGGAGCAAAATTAGATGTGGGCATGGGATGTCCAGGTGGGTTTCTATAAGAAAAATTAGGATGATTCCTCCACCCCAGATTATAAGTGTTAGAGAAAGGGTCTCCCTTCTGATTAAAGTTATTAACATAGTTAACATGTTCATTACGATAAGTATTAAGGGATAAGGGATTTCCTAATTGACATTCAAGTACAGAATGACCAACATAACCACATATCTCGTATGCAATTGAAGTAGATGCCATAGAATTAATACTCAAGTTTTTAACTTTTTTAAACAAAGCATCAACTTTAGAGGATATATGATCTAAAGCATCGATTTTATACTTTCCTCCTTTTGATGTCTGTGCCCGCTCGTTCGGCCATTGATAGTGATTTGTAGCCATGTCTTCAATGAGAGTGTATGCCGCATCTATTGTTTTGTTCATCAAAGCTCCTCTTGCAGCAACATCAATAGTCATCCGAGTGTTGTAAGTGAGCCCGTTGTAGAAGGTGTGAACAATTAACCACTTCTCTAGTCCATGGTGAGGGCACATCCTCAATAATTCCTTGTAGCGTTCCCAAGCTTCATAGAGTGATTCTCCTTCCTTCTATACAAAGCTTGTGATCTGGTTCCTCATCTGTGTTGTTTTACTTAGGGGAAAATACTTTGTAAGAAACGCCCTGGACAACTGATCCCAAGTGGTGATGGACCCAGCTGGCAATGAGTGCAACCAAGTCCTAGCCTTGTCCTTTAAAGAAAATGGAAATAATCTGAGTCGAATAGCATCATTGGTCACTCCATTAAGCTTCAAAGTGTCGTAATACTCCAAGAAAATTGACAGGTGGAGATTCGGGTCTTCAGTAGCACCTCCTCCAAACTGATTTTGCTGAACCATTGAGAGCAGTGATGGTTTTAGCTCAAAATTATTAGCTTCAACAGTGGGCCTTGTAATACTGTTTTAGCTCAAAATTATTAGCTTCAACAGTGGGCCTTGTAATACTCGAATGCGTGCCTTGAGCATTTGGTGTAGCGAAATCCTTAAGAAGCTGATTCTGATCACCCATTATTGCTTGTTCTGTGTTCCTTTGCTCCCTTATATACCTTCTTATCTCTGCAAGAGTCACCGATAGTTCAGGATTGTTTTCGTTGTGTACTTATGTTTGATGCCCTTGCATAAAAGAAAGTGAGTAGTAAAGAGAATATAAAACAAAATCTAGTCTAGCTTAATAACGTAAGCACTCAATATTAACACCGTAGTCCCTGGCAACGGTGCCAAAAACTTGTTAGGCAAAATCTGCAAGGGCACAGACTCGTTGTAGCTATCAAGGTCGATCCCACAGGGACTATGGGTTAATTACCAAATTTTACGTTATTTGACTAGCTAAATTAATGAGTAAATTAGAAGAGATGAAAATTAAAAGAAATAAAATAAATAGCTAACCAGGTGGAATTCAATATAACGAAGGGCCAGGATTGGGTTTTCACCACAACTTCTATGCTCAATGATGAATTATTTTAGTTCTCAGTGTTGGTTTAAACTAGACATGGTGAATTGGCCTAAATTAATCTAAAGCCTCTTTCAAGGTCTAAAGATCGTGCCTAATTAATCTTAGTTAACCTACTTTCTTGGAATCAAGATTAAATTAAACTCATTAAGCTTTATGCTAATCCAAATCAAATCCCTAAGGAATCTAGCCTACTTTCGTGGTTTGAGTTTCCTGCTTAATTTCTAGAGGTTCGGTATTAATCTTCACCTTTCAGTCCTTCAATTAATTACCTATGATTGCTAATACGGTGATCAAGCGAATCAACAAAATTAAAACACTAGAAATCAAGTTTAAAGATTTAAACTTTCACCAAGAACCTATATCAATTCATCATCACTCACCAAAAAGTTGGGTTCTTTCCCAATCCTAGACAAGAAATCTACTCACACATGATTGGGATAAAAGAATACATCAAATAATTATGCAAATCAATCATAAGAAGAAATAAATTAAAGAGAGGAAAGAATTAACCAAGAATACATCAAATAATTATGCAAATCAATCATAAGAAGAAATAAATTAAAGAGAGGAAAGAATTAACCTGCCTTTCAATTAAAATTTTCAAAATAAGAACTTACTATCCAATCTTGTACAAGAAATTAGTGTCTTCCTTTAATACTTGAACTCTAAAAATAGTTGCTAAATGATGGCTAAGAGAATATAACAAAAGATATCTCAACCCTAAGCCAAAATATCTATTTATATGTCCCTAAAAAATCTAGAAAAAGACAAGATCCGTGCCACGGGTGTGGTATGCATCACACCAGGGTGTGGTGGAATCTGTCTTGCTGATTTTGTGTTTGTTTGTATAATTTTCGGTATTTTAGCTATAACTTTTGCGTCCGACCTCAGAATGAGGTGATTCAAGTTGAATTGGAATGTTGTTGAAGAGATCTACAACTTTTATCTTTTGAGTTTGTTCTGGATTCAAATTACATCATGGTTGAAATTTTAGTTCTTCATACTCATGCATCCATTTTCTTGACGAACCATGCATTCGAAATCTTGTTGTTGCTTCAAACTCTTGTATAACTTCCAACGATTATCGAATCTTTTAATCTTGAGCCAATACCTATATATAAGAATACAAACAACAATAGTATCCTCGATCTAAACATGAAATATGCATTAAACATTCGTAAATCATGCTTGAAATACACTAAGATAATGCATATTTTACGTGTTCATCAAAAGACTGAAATGTTATAGGACCCACTCTGTCCAAAGTTTTGCATTCAAATTTCTGGGGTATTTTTTTTGGCATTTAGATTCTAATTATAGTAGTTACTAAAGAAAATGCCCACTAATTATTTTGCTTTTAATTCATTGGGGAAAAATAGTTCCAAAAACTCATTTTGCATTCAAAATCTAGCTTAGTAATTTGGTGTTTTCACGCAAAAATTTGATTAACTTTCATGGGCTCATCTCTAACTTAGCTAAAAAATGTTTTCACCTAGATTCCTATCATTTGGTAACTAGACATAATTTGAAACGGTAATTACCTTTATGCTTTTATTGTAATCAACACATTTCATGTGAAACTCTGTCATCTCTTCTTTTGCAACATCTCGACTCAGCCAACACCTAGGGTTTTTATTGGGATAAGATTTCGCCTGAGAGAGGATAGCCAGAGTAGAACTTGATCTTAAGGAGGAGGAAGGGGGCCAGAGAGAGCTCGATATCGTGGCGGCTCGAAGGGATCTGGCGGCGGCTTGAAGGGACCTCGCGGCGGATTTGAGAGGAGGATGAGAGGATTTGGGAGGAGGACAGAGGGGAGGGGCGGATCAGGCTCGATCTCATGACGGCTCAGAGGGAGGAGGACGGAGGGGAGGGGCGGATCTGGCTCGATCTAATGGTGGCTCAGAGGGAGGAGGATCTCGATCTCACGGTGGCTCGGAGGGATCTGGCTCGATCTCTCGGTGTCTCGTTATGGTGAACAGTTTTAAAGGTATTAGGGCTTGTGGTATAATAGTTCTTCAATTGAACAATGTGAAGGATATTGGCTTGAGATGAAGGAGAAGTTTGATATAAATGAAGAAGGGGATTGATGGTTGCAAACAGTTTACAAATGTCGAGAACACTGAGTGCCATGTTATCTTCAGGACACGTTTTTTGCTGGAATGAGATCGAGCCAAAGGTGTGAAAGTATTAATGCATTTTTTGATGGGTATGTTAACTCACAGACTCAATTACACGAGTTTGTGACACAATATGAAAAAGCAGTAACTCCTCGTCGTTTAAGTGAAGCCTATGAAGATTTTAAGAGTCTTAACACAAAGCTTGTCATGATCCTTGGACATCCAATTAAGGTCCAAGATGGAGAAATGTATACACTCAATATGTTTGATGTGTTCCAAACTGAATTCAAAGGATTTGGTACAGAGTTTTGTGAAGAATTGAGAAAAGATGGGGACATTGTTGAATACAAGATCTATAAGTTTACAGATAGGAGAAAATGGGAGGTGGTTACTTATGAACAATCCAGTCAGATGCAGTTCTGTTGCACTTGTGCTTTGTTTGAAACTAATGGTGTTGTATGTAGACATATATTATCACTAGTGGTGGCTAGTCAAATGAATTCATTACCCGACCATTACATCCTACACCGTTGGACCATACATGCTCGACATTGTAACATTGGGGTTGGCAACATTGTACTTGGAAGAAATATCACAAGCTGTGAAGAGAAGCTTAATTTATTGAAATCTTGGGCTTTAAGAGCAAAATTCAATAATGCGCTCGAGCTTGCATTTGATTCAGAAGAGAAGATGCAAAAACTTGATGATGTGCTAACAAATTTCATAGAATCAGTTGAAGAAGAAGTTGGAGAAACTCAAGATCAAATGGTGGATAGTTCTCAGATTTTCGCACCCATTTCACATACAATGGAGCACATTCCTCAGATTACAATTCGTGATCCTGATAGACCTGCAAGGACTAAAGGTCGTCCACGCAATGCTACTAGAATCCAGTCAGGTTTAGAACAAGCACAAGAAAAGAAAGAAAGGAAGAAATGCATATGTAGCAGATGTGCATATGTAGCATATGTGATGAACTCGGGCATTATAGAACTAGTTGTAAAGTCAACTTGCAAAGGTACAATTAATAATTTTTTTTCATGAAACTTCATAGTACAAAGTCATATCTCATGATTAATTTGACATGTAATTTATAGCTAAACATATGCACGGGTGCTAGATTATGAGGTTTGTTTACTGGGTACCCCAGTCCAAGTAAATATGTCTGAATTTGTTCCCTTTTCGTTTTTTTTTTTTTTTGTTTGCTTGCATTTTTTTGTATCAATCTTCAATTTTCTAGTCTATTGGTGAAAAAAATTGAATCCTTGTGGCACAGGTTGTTGGAGCATACTTTAAAAAAATGAGATCTCGGTCTAAATGTATTGACTACTTTGGTTGTAACTTTTTATGTTTTGAAACATGAAAATGATTCTAATTTGTGAGAACACCTGGATGTAACTTTGGATGATGTAACTTTGGTTGAAACTCTCTACCTTTTGGTTTGGATGCATGCTGGTAGGATAATAGTTTTTGATATGCTATTTTACCTGTCAAACTGTATAAACAAGGATTGGTTGTTGATAGGATTATCTGATATGAATGTGTTTAGTTTGGCTGTTGACAGGATATCTTACTTTATGTCTGTTATTTGAGTGATCAAGTTATTAAATATGCAAAAGTTCTTCAAATGTTGATTGTTCAGACAACATCTGCATAAAATTGTACCAAGAGGATATGCCTCAAGTGACAAATACATGGGACCCAATACATTTTATTTTCAGTTATCTTCTATGCTGCAAATGCCAAATGGCAAGAAGAATGCATCATGGTGTTAGCTTTGCTTGATAGCACAAAGATAATGTTAAGTTGGCACATTTGAATTCCCAGAGATGAACATTTGTGTCTGCATGAGTGTTTGTTTGTTTGTTTGAAACCTGTTGAAGTTACATTTTCTCAGCTTCTTAAGTTTGTGCGTGCGAACCAGTCTTTATCCCTAATGTAAAATGGAATTTTTACCTTTTGGTTAGAATCATAAACATGGTGGTATATTCTTAAAATCAGGCAAGCAAAGCATGCGAAAAAAATTCAGCATGCCTCTTTTTTTTTATGCAAAAGTTTATCAGGCTCTAGCAGCATGCCTCTTTTTGTAAAGAGAACCTAAGATTATGCATCCTTGAAATCTTCTAACTGTATTGAAGAACACTTCTTAGCATTTTTGTGTTCTTCTACAACACTCTGCTAGAAATGAAGTTCATGCAACATACAAAATAATCCAGTCAGGCATAAGCCTATTCATTCACACAACTAGCATTTCAGAATAAATTACATCACATAATATTGTATTTACTTACAAACCTAGTTGAGAAACATCCAAGATCCAATACATAATAACTTACAAATCACATCACATACTTTTTGCAATAGAGAATCTAACAAAAATAGCAACGATACATGCTATAAACACTAATATTGTAAACATTGAACCTAAAGCAAAAATATAGATGGAGGAAATAACAGTTTCCCTAAATTTTTCCTTGTCCTCATCTAGATTATGCCGCTCCGGAAATATTTGTTGTTGAAATTGAACTGGTTTCTGGACAGGCCTTGAGCTGGATGCTGAATCACGATCGATAGTGTACTTCTCCCATTCAATCAAAGCCTCTTCGTACATTGCAAACCCTTTGTAGGAGGCATTTAGAAATTTATCAGATTTACATTCCTCCCAATTATTAAAAATACCCCATCGTCGACCTCTCTTCACAATATAAAAACACTTTCTTGCTATATCAATTTCAAACCTGAAATTTTGTGCTAGGAAATGTAAACTTTGGATAACCTGAAAATTTGTGTTCAATTCTTATCATATCAATTTCAAACCTAAATGTGCTAAGGTCTACGACAAGATCAAGATATTTGCTAGGAAATGTAAACTTTGGATTATACATTCATCACAGATCTAAGGTCTACGACAAGATCAAGATATTTGCTAGGAAATGTAAACTTTGGATTATACATTCATCACAGATTCTGAATTCAAAACTCATTGTGGTTGGACACTAGGAAATGTAAACTTTGGATTATACATTCATCACAGATTCTGAATTCAAAACTCATTGTGGTTGGACATGTTCTGAAGACCTATGAATGTGCAAGTTGTGTCAAAGTTAGGCTTTGCTTGAGGAAGGCCTTAACTTGTGTTGAATTTAATATTTCCGCCTCCTAACAATATAATCACGAGGTTATATAAGCTCGTTTACATAAACTTGTGGTGCCATAATCATTTCCCCCAACAGGTACTTGTTCTTGAGCCAATATCTAGTAAGAAATATAATTTGAGCAACCATGATGAACTCCTCTTGAAAACTTCTACCTAATTATTAAACCAAGTCCTGCTTATTTTAACCCAGTGCGGAGCGTGTGAACCTGAGAGAAGAGAGCTCGATCTGGCTAAAATGCTAGGAGAGATCGCGCGACAACTTGGACGGATCTCGCGACGGCAGTGGAGAGGGACGTGGATCTGTAAGAGAGAGGAAACAGATTTGGGAGGAGGACGGAGGGGAGGGGCGGATCTGACTCGATCTTGCATTGGCTCAGAGGGAGGAGGACGGAGGGGAGGGGCGGATCTGGCTCGATCTCGCTCGCAGCGGCTCAGAGGGACGAAGACGGAGGGAGGGTGGATTTGGCTCTCGATCTCGCGACGGCTTGGGACTCGCCCGACGATCGGGAGAGGCGGATTTGGGGAAGGATGAAGCAGATTTAAGGAGAGAGAGGGCGGATTTGGGAGGAGGATGAGAGGATCTGGGAAAGAGGGGGGATTCGGAGAGAGAGAGAGAGAGAGGATAAGGTCACGAGCATTAAATGCGGGTTTTTTTCGAAAAAATCCTGCAACACCGAGAAGCTAGCGCTACCAACGCATACACATTTCCATATTATATATATATAATATATATATATATATATATATATATATTATATATAATATAGGAAATAATGTGCCTTTTTTTTACAACATAAGATATTTAAGCGTAAAGGTAGTGAAAAAATAGGGTATTTAAGTGTCATTTAGCCCTTTTCTCACTAAAGAGTTGCATGAGAAAAAGTTATATTATAAAGGAAAAATAAAATGCTAATATATAACATTCCACAGATAGAGCAAAGAAGAATAAATTGAACATTAATAATGAAGAATCAAAGGATATTAAAATGATTTAAGGGGTATATACGCAAATAACCCAAAAAAAGATATAATCAAAGGAGATTAAAATGAAGCAGAGTATACTTCAGGTAAAAACCAAATACAAATAAAGGGTTCTTACAATCTCAGAATAAAGTGAGATTTTAATAGACACTACAACCATTACACCAAAAGACAGAAACTCTGATAGAACCGTTCCTAAATGGTAATCTAACATAACATATACCAAACTTACCCATCAACCAACAGAAACTCTTCATCATGAAGAACTTGTACATCTTTTTCTCCCACAAAATACTCTCTCCCAATACTCTCAACTATCTTCACAAATTCAACCCTTTTTGCAAAAGGCAGAGGTTGATAAGGCAACCTGAAAACAGGCCTAATCACCCCAAGCTGAGCAAGCGCAGTATTCAAGCCTATCGGGTTTGGCTCCTGAAACAACCACTTAAACAATGGCATCAATTTCGAATTCAATAATGGGTTCATGCCCTGAAACATAAGCTCACACATCAAACCAGGAACAAGATTGCTAGTAACTGATACAACTCCAGTAGCCCCATACATCCATCTACTATCATGACACTCATCATCGTTACCACTCCATATAACAATTCCTTTATTGGTATACTCTTGAATCCTTTCGTTTCCGACACATTCTTTGACACCTGCCATGTTGGAATTTTCAGAGATTGCATCTATAACTGAAGGAGGAATATCTTGTCCAGTTCTGGAAGGTACATTGTAGATTATGGTTGGGCCCATAGAAAGAACTGACTGAAAATGCGAGACTAATCCTTTCAATGATGTTTTCCCATAATAAGGATTTATGTGCAATGCTGCGTGCATACCTACGGCAAAACCTTGTTCAGTTGCATGCTTTGCTTCTCTAGTTGAGTTACTCCCAGTATTGCCAATGACTTTGATTGATGTGCCAAAGCAATTGACTGTGTGGCCAATGAGCATGATGTGCTCATCCCAACTCATAAGGTGGCCTTCACCGGTTGTTCCTCCGACGATTACACCCTCAGCACCATTGACTATTTGCAAGTGCATCAGGGAATCGTAGGCTTCAAGATCAAATCTACCATTGGGCAAGTATGGGGTCTTAATGGCTGTGATTAATCTGAGACTTTTTATATCAACCACTGATGTCCTGTGAGTGCCAGAGAGATGTTAGCAGAAGCACAAAAATGAGCATGTGGAGTGGAATTGAGTACATGAGTTAGAAACATTTTGAGTATTTCAGAGGTAAATAAATTAGTGATCACCCAAATTTAATCAACAAGAATAGTTTGTGTTTAGATTGTACAAATCTTTTTCTAGTTATACGAATAAAAAGAAAGTCTGTCCTATGTTATGCAAACAACTTGTTGATGGATTGCTTTCAGTTACTGCAACAAAGACTCAGTCAATTTGTGCTGCTGTTATTTTCCTTATTTTTAGCCATTTTCTGTTTTCCAGTTAAACACTACTAGTTAGTGATGTTAGTGGCTGGATTTTAGTTGTTGTTGATAGTGGAACATGATTCCAAGTAGTTGCTTGAATTTAGGAGTCACTAGATGAAATTTTTCTGTATTTAAGTATCATTTCTGTTCAATAGAAGTGTGTGGACATTTTACAGCAATATCCTTTGTTGTTCTTGCCTTTATTTCTTTCTCAAAGTCAGTTTTACAGCATAAAACTCCAACAAAGTGGTATCAGAGCTCTCTTCTTGAGGGACCTGTGACTGAGAGAAACACATTACATGGATTCATCTGAAACTCCTTTCACTGCACTAGCACCACCTGTCTTCAATGGAGAAGGCTATCACGTGTGGGCAGCAAGAATGGAGGCTCATCTGGAGGCAAATGATCTCTGGGAAGCTGTCGAGGAGGACTACGAAGTTCCTCCATTGCCTGCGAATCCAACCATGGCGCAGATTAAGAATCAAAAGGAGAAGAAATCAAGGAAGTCAAAGGCGAGAGCCGAATCCAACCATGGCGCAGATTAAGAATCAAAAGGAGAAGAAATCAAGGAAGTCAAAGGCGAGAGCTATGTTATTTGCTGCTGTCTCACCTGAAATCTTTGTCAGGATTATGACTATGAAGTCAGCTTTTGATGTCTGGAACTTCCTGAAGAAAGAGTATGAAGGAGATGAGAGGATTAAAGGAATGCAAATTCTCAATTTGATTAGAGAATTTGAACTTCAGAAGATGAAGGATTCAGAGACTGTCAAAGAGTATTCTGACAAATTACTCAGCATTGCCAACAAAGTAAGGTTACTTGGCTCTGAATTTCCTGATTCTAGAATTGTTCAAAAGATTCTTGTAACAATTCCTGAAAGGTTCGAAGCAACCATCTCTTCGCTGGAGAACACTAAGGATATGTCAAGGGTTAGCTTGGCAGAATTGTTGAATGCTTTGCAGGCACAAGAACAGAGAAGACTTTTGAGGTCTGAAGGGTCTGTTGAAGGTGCATTAGCTGCAAAAGCTCAGTTCAGTCAAGGAGGAAAAGGGAAGAAGAATGAGAAATAAAAGAAGGGAAACTCAGGTTCTGATTCTCCTAATACCAGTAAGGGAACAAAATCTGATTTTCCTCCTTGTAAACACTGTGGAAGGAAGGGTCATCCACCTTTCAAATGCTGGAGAAAGCCAGACTGATTTTCCTCCTTGTAAACACTGTGGAAGGAAGGGTCATCCACCTTTCAAATGCTGGAGAAAGCCAGACCAGCAATGTGAGAAGTGCCAGAATTCAAATGCTGGAGAAAGCCAGACCAGCAATGTGAGAAGTGCCAGAAGATGGGACATCATCAAAGAATTTGCAAGAGCAACATTCAACAAAAGACTGTGACACAAGCGAATTTGAAGCAGAAGAATGATGCTCAAGTAGCTGATCAAGAAGAGGAGGAGCAACTCTTTGTAGCATCTTGTTTTGCTACTAGCAACTTGAGTGACAAGTGGCTTGTTGACAGTGGTTGCACAAACCACATGACATTTGATCGTGATCTGTTTAAGGAGCTAGACACTTCTGTGGTATCCAAAGTGAGAATAGGCAATGTAGAATATATCGCGGTTAAGGGAAAAGGCACCGTGGCAATTGAAAATGCTTCAGGTACAAAACTTATCAGAGATGTTTTATTTGTACCTAATATTAGCCAAAATCTATTGAGTGTTGGCCAGTTGCTTGAGAAGGGTTTCAAAGTTATCTTTGAAACAAATCAGTGTCAAATCAAGGATTCAGAAGGCAAAGAAGTATTCAAAGTGAAGATGAAGGGGAAGAGCTTTGCACTAGATCCATTGCAGGAGGAGCAAGCAGCTTACTCAGTTGCTAGCATCACAGAAACTTGGCACAAAAGACTCGGCCATTTTCACCATGCTGCAGTACTAAACTTGCAGAGAAAAGAGCTTGTTGAAGGTCTGCCTCAACTGGAGTTAGAACTACCAGGTTGCAAGGCCTGTCAATATGGCAAACAAGCAAGACTTCCGTTCCAGAAATCTATCTGGAGAGCAACTGAGAAGCTGCAACTCATCCACACTGATCTTGCGGGACCTCAGAGAACTCTTTCACTTAAGGGGAGTAAATATTACATAATCTTTATTGATGACTTCACTCGTATGTGCTGGATTTATTTTCTCAGATTTAAATCAGAAGTTGCGGGCGTTTTTTGGAGATTTAAGCAATGGATCGAGAATCAAAGTGGTTGTACCATTCAAATGCTGAGGTCAGATAATGGCAAAGAGTATACTTCAAATCAATTCAATCAGTTTTGTGAGGACGCTGGCATTGAGCATCAGTTAACTGCCCCATACACTCCACAACAAAATGGAGTCAGTGAAAGGAAGAACAGAACAATCTTTGAGATGGCAAGATGCATGATGCATGAGAAAAATTTGCCTAAGGAGTACTGGGCAGAAGCAACAAACACGGCAGTGTTCTTGTTGAACAGGCTTCCTACTAAAGCCGTTAATGGGAAGACTCCTTTTGAGGCATGGTATGGATTCAAACCTAATTTGAAAAATCTAAAAGTTTTTGGATGTTTGTGCTTTACTTATGTGCCACAGATCAAGAGAGATAAGCTTGACAAAAAGGCAGAGACAGGGATTTTTTGTGGGTTATAATACTGTCTCTAAAGCTTATAGAATTTTCCAACCTCACACAAGGAAAATTCTTATAAGTAGAGATGTGCACTTTATGGAAAATGAAGAATGGAACTGGAAAGGAAAGCAATCAACTTCAGTCTCAAACCAGACTTCAAAATTCCATTTGAAAGAAGATGAATTGGTGGATGAAGTTCCTGTAAGAGGTATGAGATCACTTTCTGATATTTATCAAAGGTGTAATGTTGCTGTTCTTGAACCAGCAGACTTCTGGGAAGCAAAGAAAGATCCAAAATGGATAGCTGCAATGAAGGAGGAGCTGGGCATGATTGAGAAAAATCAGACCTGGCAACTTGTGAAGAGGCCTGCAGATAGGAAAGTGATAGGAGTAAAATGGGTGTTCAGAACAAAATTGAATGCAGATGGCTCAATCAACAAGTACAAAGCCAGACTTGTTGTGAAAGGGTATGCTCAAATTTTTGGTGTTGATTTTTCTGATACATTTGCTCCTGTTGCTCGACTTGATACAATCAGATTATTACTTGCCATTGCTACACAAAAAGACTGGAAAGTTTACCAGTTAGATGTAAAGTCTGCATTCTTAAATGGTTTTCTTGAGGAGGAGATATATGTTGAGCAGCCTGATGGATTTACAGTCAAAGGGCATGAAGATGATGTGTATTTGCTCAAGAAAGCATTGTATGGTCTGAAGCAGGCACCTAGAGCCTGGTACAGCAGAATTGATGAGCATTTGATGCAGCTTGGTTTCAGAAAAAGCCTCAGTGAAGCTACACTCTACATTAAAGGTGACGAAGTGAATTTTGTTATTGTCTCATTATACGTTGATGACTTGCTGGTGACAGGAAGTAATGGTGAGCTTGTTAACAAGTTCAAGGAAGACATGAAACAGACCTTTGAAATGACAGATTTGGGAGAGATGGCTTATTTTCTTGGAATGGAGATTCAGCAGAAAAGAGGTGAAGTCTTTGTTTGCCAGAAGAAGTATGCAAAGGAGATCTTAAAAAAATTCAGAATGAAGGATTGCAAGAACATGCCTACTCCAATGTGTCAAAAGGAGAAGTTGAGCAAACATGATGAAGCTGAAAGAGTTGATGAAACTCTTTACAGAAGCCTAGTTGGTTGCCTCATGTATCTTACAGCAACAAGGCCAGATATTTTGCATGCTGTAAATTTGCTATCCAGGTTCACTAATTGTGCAACTGAAACTCATCTTAGAGCAGCAAAAAGAGTGATTAGATATGTCAAGGGAACATTGGATTTTGGAATAAAGTTCTATGCAAGTCAGAATTGTGTTCTACAGGGATATTCTGATAGTGATCATGCTGGCTCTTCTGATGATATGAAGAGCACTTCTGGTTATTGCTTTAATCTTGGTTCTGGTATTTTTTCATGGTGTTCCAAAAAGCAGGAGATTGTTGCACAATCAACTGCTGAAGCAGAATTTATTGCAGCAACAGCTGCTGCAAATCAGGCTTTATGGCTTAGAAAGTTGATGGTTGATCTAAATTTGAAGCAAGAAAAGTCCACAGATGTATTTGTGGATAATCAAGCAGCAATTGCAATCTCAACTAATCCTGTTTTTCACGGGAAAACGAAGCATTTCAACATTAAGTTGTTCTTTCTTAGAGATCTGCAGAAAGAAGGTTCTATTGTTCTGAAGTACTGCAAAACTGATCTTCAGCTAGCAGACATTTTCACAAAACCTTTGCCAAGAAGCAAATTTGAGTTTCTTAGAGAAAAGCTTGGAGTTTGCAGCAACTAAGCAAGGAGGAGTGTTGATGGATTGCTTTCAGTTACTGCAACAAAGAGGATATTGCTGTAAAATGTCCACACACTTCTATTGAACAGAAATGATACTTAAATACAGAAAAATTTCATCTAGTGACTCCTAAATTCAAGCAACTACTTGGAATCATGTTCCACTATCAACAACAACTAAAATCCAGCCACTAACATCACTAACTAGTAGTGTTTAACTGGAAAACAGAAAATGGCTAAAAATAAGGAAAATAACAGCAGCACAAATTGACTGAGTCTTTGTTGCAGTAACTGAAAGCAATCCATCAACACTCCTCCTTGCTTAGTTGCTGCAAACTCCAACACAACTAAACAATGTCTTTCCTTTATTGACATACCAGGGTCACTGATAAACCAAAGTGATTCAGCTCTTCCCACCTATCTATATCCTGCAAGAGGGAGACAGGGAAACAATATGATGATAGAATTACTTGCTTGTTATCAGCACAAGATTGAAGTTGATGATATGCATCACTTAAGAAACAGTGACCTGTTTGTGCAGGTGTGCTTGTATTGCTAAATACAAACAGCAGCTGATCGTTCTGTATCCTATAGTGGAAGGGCATGAAACACATTTGGCAATAAGACAGAGGCTGGACCAAAATCAATGCAACACCTCGACATAGATTTCAACAAAGCAATTTAGTAGCTTAGTTATTAAAGGGGTAATGATATTTCAGTGAAAACCAAATGTGAAGTGAAAGAGAGGTGCAAAAGTGGGATACGTCTTCTATCTGAAATATGGAGGCGAAGGCTCCAAATTACTGAAGGCTTTTGGTAAGAGGGAAAGTAATAGAGTTCTAAGATCCAGTCTGTGCTTTAAGACTGATAAGTGATAAGTGATAATTGCCAAGCTAAAGAGGGAATCGTTACTGAAATTTTGTCTGATTGTCACCAGTCTGATCAATTACTTAAGGAGTTCAATGAGTAGGAAAGGAATAAAATATATAGGATGAAGTCCTTTATCCAGATACTGATAATTGCATGACACTATGCGCAATAATAGCAATCGGAATATATAGGATGCAGAAGGAACTTAAATGTACCGAGATCCTCCAACCATATATCTTGTAAAGAGAAAGAAACTTGATGGGGGTTATATTCCAGTTATACAATACAGCCATGAACTACAGAGTAATTGTTAATAAGGAGAGAGAACTAGACATACAAGCACGTTGAGTTATATTTGAAAGAATAGATTTTTCCTCAACAACCAATAAATACAGCTCATTCTGAAGGGAAAAACAAAGGCAAATGGTAGCAAAAATGGTAGCAACATTGATCAAACAATGACTTTTAAAAAGATATAAATAGGAAATGTGAAGATCCAGTTCACAGTTGGAAGAGAAAACGGATAAGACATAATAAATTCAACTAATGAAGGCCATGTAATGGGATCAAAGGAGTCGTGATAAAGAAAGAAGGTAGCTCGAAAAAATTTGTAGAGTAATACATAACGAAGATCATGAGACTTTTATCTGGTAAAGCAGAACGAGAGGCATGTATCTGACTGGAAGAGGTCCAATAACTTGGAAATCAAGTAGGCGTAATTTTAATAAATATGGTCAACTAGATTACACTCTACCAAACTACTCTCACACTACAAGGAAGACAAGTTCTACTTCAATCAGTAATCAATTTGGATAAAACTTGAAGAGGATGGAGCCCACATTTCTCTCTCTTATAGGGTAGGAGCAGTTTGCGGGGAGTAGTCTAGTTATCACTACTCAATTTTAATACGTAGGATGACCAGCAGCTAAACTACAGTCTTGGAAAGCTGAGTTTAAGCATCAAGACAACTTAAAGTTCCACAGAGTATCTGTTTATGGCTCCCTCGTTCTCTCCATCTCCAGATGAACCCTCCTGAGAGAGTATCCCTACATATTTGTTAACTGTTAAACCTTATACCTCTGGAGGAATACAGATAACAGAACTGCACCAAGTGAAACTTCATGATCGTCCTTACCAACCTTACAACATTGCATTCACTCCTTCACAGAGATATACAACACGACCAAAAAATAAGTCCCTCCAAATATGACCATGATACTTCAGTTGGCTGTGTTGATGATGCTAGAAATTCAAACATCCAAAAGATAACAGCATTTCTGTTAACCGCATATTAGTCATCGAGGTCATGATAAAACCATACTCATGATATAAAGCCATACTCATGATGGAATCCGTATTCAAAAGGGCGAAGCCAAGGGAAGTTCTTGATTCATTTCTTGCATAGAAATTATGTTAAGGATTTCAAAAATAAATTTAATAACTATTAAAATCGCAAAATCACCTTTGTACAATTTGCGAGAAGTTGAACCGATCCAAACTAGCTAATCCACAATAAATAATTGCTACTGCACTGACAAAGTGTAATTCAGCACAGATGATGCTGAGCTTAGATTATAGAATGAGCTACAAATGATGAAGAGAAATTATGAAAAGTACTGATGAAAAGTTTAGCCAACACATTATGAAGTTTACGTGTATCTTAAGATTAGACAAAAACTGGGGAGTAAAATTGCACGAAAAAAAGATCATACTCATGATCCTTGCTAGTTTACTAACAAAAAATTGTAATACTGGAAGTAAGATATTATTAGTATGATTCATGCTAAAGCCCTTCTCATTTCATCTTTGTAACATCCATAATTCCAGCACATGTTTAGTTGAGCCTTAAATTATTGCATACATGAGCCCATAGCCTTAGATACTTTTGGTCAACAGTTGAATGGTTCAAAATCCCTTAGCTGAGTTACCTATTACACCAACCATTATCACCCATGTCCCTTCAGAATGATACTAAAGTATGATAGAGTAGAAAATATGTTAGCAAAGCACTGAACAAACACTGGATGGTTTCAATCACAAAATCCTTATGGGGAAAATGTAACTCAAGACCTAGTTGTGACAACTAGTGCTCCAAAGAACTTGCCTAAGCTCTCATTTAAAAAAAAGGCAGCTTCTAGGCTCATATAGGAGGAAGCAACATGAGTGCAACATTAAATGCATATACACAAACCATATCAGTACTACATATGTCATTAAGAGCACAGCTCAATAGCAGAATCTACATATACACAAACCATATCAGCACTACATATTTCATTAAGAGCACAGCTCAATAGCAGAATCTACATGAAGAGAACTAGATACAAGCTTTTATATTAGTGTCTCCACAGGACCATATCAACAAGTAGCTTGGTGTTAGCTTATTATCCGTATATCTTAGATCATGACAAATTTATCCACGTAAGCATCTACCAAGAATGAGTTGCCATTTTAGTTGACTTAGCTCCAGTCATCAATCTCATTCCATGCACATGTACCACTAAACCATTCTGCCTATAACAAATATGGGACCTATAGGTAAATCCATCAGATAACATTTTCTTGGATGGAGAATGGATGGAAGTGAGGATGGTGGTTATATGTTGACAGAATGGCGAAAAAATGTTGTGACAAATTTACTCATGCAGGTATTGTGCCTACTGCACTGTTGTGCCTACAACAGATGTAGGTAAATCCGTAAAACAAAACTTTTTTGGATAAAAAATTTGGACGAAAGTGGGCATAGGTGGTTATATGTTGACGGAGGAAAGGCACATAAGGGTGGTAATTTGAAACTCAAGTAGTTAAGGATAGTAACGTGAAATTCGGTCTAATTTAGGCGTTGTTCTGTGAAAAAACCATACATACAAAATTTAATTTATTTTTGTAAGTACAAAGAGGACATTTGATAATCATAACTTGATAATTTAGGGATGATAGTTCTCTATAAAAAGAAGTCCTTAGTGCATGTTTAGCAACCTCCCAAAAAAGGACCAGGATTGATCCTAGTCTTAACTTGTAAGAACCTTACTTGAGAAAAACTGAGCCAGTGTTTGCGCACCTATTTTGGCAAGAACCTTGTTTGGGAAAACACTAAGCTAGTATTTGCCTAGTTTTTCCTAAGCCAAAAAAGCCTCACAAATGACTTTCTTTTTTACCCACAACCAGTGGACCAAAACATAACGAGTTTATCTCAAAATTGGGCTCGGATCAACCGCAGCTTTGTTTTGGTGAGTTTACTAAACTAATCCTTATCCTTTCTATCTATAATATTATTCGTTTCAAGTGAATTACACTTGTGACGGTCTGACTTCTTGTTTTGACAAAGTGAGAGAAGTAAGAGCATTGTACTCGAATTTTTGGTGGTGAGAAGAGAACCTACGGTTTCATAAATACATGCATTCTTCACAACACATGAAAACAAGATACTAGTCCAAATAGAGCAAATCCTTGAGGATTCACAAATTTAATCACTAAATTCTTAGTCCGGCCTCACATCTAAAGATTCAGAAATAATGCATGTGTCATTCAGCAAACACATATACTAGAGAACTATTATTCAAAGAGCAAATCTTCACAGATTTAGTGTATTAAAACCCTGCTTATATATAAAGAGGTGTTCCTCCCTTAATTCTCTAAGTTCTCTACAATTTCTTAAGGTGAAGATGACCTCTAAAATTCTGCAATCATCTTCATCGCTCTCCTTGTCTTCTTCATCGGTTAGTATAACTGGTAAGCAATTTTTCGAAAGTCTTAACTCTGTCAATTAAGATATTTTTATTTAAATATAAATTTTTTTCAGGACATTCATCACTGCCCATTAAGGCTAAAATGTGTCATTTTTATCCCGCGCCATGCAGAGAGGATGTAGAGTGTCTGAAGCCGTGTAAATTGGTGGGTTAGGACTTAGGATTGTAAGCTTGCAAAGTGTGTGCTTAACCCTGTTGGAGATAAACCTCCCTTCATTTGTTGTTGCTGAAGATAATGAGTTAATTTGGAATAATAAATGTTTTCTTGCAATTGTCATCTTGCTCTAACATATAATGGAAATAAAAGGATAATTTAGTTGGTTTCGATATTTCAGTCTCATTAAAATAAATATTATGTCTTGATTATCAGGGTAATTGCAAATACACCTGCTATACTATGAGGATGAAACCACTTATATCGCAAAACTTCAAATGGCAGCAACGTTATGGAAAACAGAGCAAAGCCGCAAAGTGCTGGTTTAGCTTTTTAGGGCTTAAGCGGGAAAAAACCAATGTCAAATTTTCAAACAAGCAAAAAATGGAGGAATTTTTGAAAAATAATACCAAAAATAAGCAAAAAATGGATGTTTAACAATTGCAAAAAGGGAAAATAATCCCAAAAATAAAGAAAAATATAGGAAATTTTTGAAAATTATAAAACAAGCAAAAAATGGATGAACTTTTTCTTTAGATGCATATGATTATTTATATTGATCCTACGCATAAAATAGATGTGTAACAATTGCTTAGATTAATGCAACATTGTTAAATAATATACAAATTGTAATGTGATAAAATAGAATACAGTTTGATACGCACACCACAGTCAACAAATTAATGACTTAATGTAAATTATCAAAGGTAAGACAACATGCTTATTAAATACAATCATCATCATTGTTCTAAGTTTCTTCCAACTGAGTACATATGTAAAAAAAAAACATGTAAAGCGGTTAATCGCTTTACACTAGCACTTTGGCTGCTTTTAGCCTCTATGGACCTCTTTTAGACCGCTTTTGGCTGTCTTTGATCACTTCGGACCACTTTTAGGCCGCTTTGGATTGCATTTAGGATTTTTTTTTCATCTCGAAAGCGCTTTTGGGTCATAGCGGAGCGAAAACGTGCCGCTTCCGCTTTTTGCGATGTTTTTTCTGTATTTTACAAGATTAGATGCCACTTACGTTGAAAATAACCAAATTGGAAAATAACCACTTATATAAGCTGCAAAAAAAAATCATTTAGTACTCATATATCATAATCTGCTTTCGCAGTTAAGATGTTTGGCAAAACTGTATTTAAATAACAGTGTTGTAAATAGCGCCCAATAGCGACGCTATAGCGGTTTCAATATTGGTCGTAGCCACATACCGCTAGGCTTTCATGCTAAGCGGTCGACTCTTGCGGGCATTTCTGCTTTCCGCTCATAATCGCGGTGAAAAGCGCATAATAGCGCTACTAGCGGTTAAAAAGCGCTTAATAGCGCTACTAGCGGTTAAAAAGCGCTATTAGCGGTTAAAATGCGCTATTAGCGCTTAAAAAGCGCTTTAAGCGCCATTTTAAATAGCGCTTTAAGCGCCATTTTAAATAGCGGATTTTTAAGTTGAGGACCCAAAACCGACCCAAAACCAACCCCATTGTAATTAAAACCCTATTCCAATATCTTTCGCTTGAGTCTCGTCGTCAGCGCTTCATCTCTACTCTTAAAAAAGCTTAGTGCTGAAATCCATCTTTAAGAGCTCCTCCAGTAATCTCCTCTGGCGATCTCCTCCAGCGAGCTTCTCCTTCAGCAGCAGCTCCTCTCAGGCAGCAATTCTCCAGCAACAATTCTTCGCTGGAGTCTTCAAAGCTCCAGCAAGAATAGCCGCCCTCGAACAGCAGCCGCCCTCGAACAGCAGCTGACCAATAGAAGCTCATCATGCTTCACCTCGACCACCTCATCAAATATCCATTCCATTCTCTTTTAGGCTTAGCCTACAATAGAGAATAAGGTAAATCAAATCTCTCAAATCAAATTTTAATTATTTAATTTTGGGGAAATATTCAGCAGATTGTAGATTTTGACATTTTGTTATTTATATGTGAAGATGGGGCTTAATTAACCTGAAAAAAACTGAACTTCTGTGATCTTGATGTTCTTGTCATGTGCTTAAAGATTTGTGCATAAAGAATTTCTATTTAGAATTTTAGTGTTTGATTATCAATCCATTTACATGTTACACCTATAGATCAATGCTAAGTATGCTTTCAGTTATGCTTTGGAGGCTTGGGTTTAGATAATTAGTTATTCATTTTCATTTAAGTCCTTGCATATAGTATACTTCACTTAACAAAGAATGAGCTTTCAGTTATGCTATGCTAAATATCATATATGCTTTCAATTATTCATTTTCTAAAAGTCCATCTGATGCGGGACGATGGGAATTTTAGGGTTTTATGTTAGGGATTTGGGAAATTTGGGGAAGAACAAAGATTTGAGGAAAGCTAGGGTTTGGAAAATTAACAAGATATGATCACGAATCGCAACTCGGGCATTGGCTTCACCACCATTGACTCAATCTTAGATCAAATCAATAACCCAAAGTTTCACAAATGAAACAAAATTTTCTTCAAATATTCATTGCTTTATTTCATAGAATTGACCTCTTTAAATAGGCCTTCAAAAACTACAAGTTCACTCCTATATCCGATGTGGGACTAAAAAAGAGCAAATACAATAAAGAGAAAATACAATAAAAGCAACACTAGCTAGACTCCAAACCTTCTCAAAATCAAAACCAAATAT